ATATAACTTCACGCCTGTCTCCCATGGGGGTAGGCAGAGACTATGGAACGCCAATATTCTACGATTTCTACATACCTCTATCGCTTCATCAACAGTCATCAATCTTTTCATGAATGATCGTCGGTTAAGGGTACCTACTTTTAATTTAGCCCTTCCTTAATATATCGCCAATCTGGTCAGTATATATCCGTCTAGGGCGCCCTCTACTGATGGTCCCATTCGTATCCGCTCTGTACCTATGTATCTACGTCTTGTTTCGTTATTCTACTTTCATCCATCCTTTCTACATGTCTAAACTAGTTAAAAATAATCACACTTTCATTAATTGATTTTAATATAACCAATTTACCTCTAATTTTATTAGTTTTCCGGAAATTTTGTAAGAAATAAGTATGTTGTTTGACGCAAAAATATGACGTCACAATACACAATCTCATGCTCCCATGTTACGTTGGTGGATTAATAATTTGTAGACGGATTTATAATACTTGGATTTATTACAATAATGTGCAGGGCGCACGACGTGTACACACACCAGACTATGACAGGTAGACAGCGGCGTTAATCAATAGTGTTCCACCTTATATAACACATTATAGTGGGGGGGCCACTACTTACTAATTAGTGATGTTCATATCATACATATAGGACTTAATCTATTTCATCAATAAACCTCTTGGTCGGTTTGACAATACGACCTGACTTTGTCTTGTAGAATTCTGACTGTGGAGATCTTGAATTCTCCGACTCCTGTCTGTCACCCTCATCTCTCCCCTGCGAAGGATTGGACCGCATAGGAGGGTTATCACTGTCATTACAATATTTATGCCTTAAGTGTACCCTATTGCTCCTATACTTCATTGCAGCGGTAAGTCCCCTCTTTGAGGAGTGGCTTGAGAGACGCTACGGCGTCCTCACCTACCGCCTGACGCAGGTCCTCACCGGACATGGAAGTTTCGGGAGGTACCTGTGTCTGATGGGGCGGGAGGAAACGCCCGGGTGTCATCACTGCGAGGACCGCCCTGAGGACACGGTGGAACACACAGTGGGAGAATGCCCTGCGTGGGCTGAGCACCGCCGTGCCCTCAGGGAAGTGATCGGCGATGGCGACCTCTCGCGTCCGGGCCTAGTGCAGGCCATGATGCGGAGCGAGGGGGACTGGGATGCCGTCTCCTCCTTTTGCGAAGCAGTCATGCTAGCTAAGGAGGAGGCGGGACGCGTGAGGCAGCGAAGCGCTGCCTCCTCGCAACCCAGCCATCGCGAAGGACACACCGGGCGTCGGGGATCGCGGGACGATCTCCGGCCACCGTAAGCGCGGGCCTGCGGACGGCGAGCATGGGTGGCTCCCCGTCCGACCAGAAACAGACCCGAGCGTACGGCGCGTCGCGTTCCGCGCGCGCCTCAAAGAGCCATCAGACCACCACAGATGGGGCCCAATAGGGCCGATGCCGATTCGGAGTCGCGGAGAACCTAACGGGTAACCGGGGCTCCGGCTCGACGTGCAGGAGAAGGAACGGGGTGGTTTTTAGTCAGTAAGAGTCTGACACTCCCTTCCGCCTCACCCAGGCGGGAGCAGTCATTCGATGATTTTCCCCCCTTAAAAAAAAAAAAAAAAAAATTGCTCCTATACTTAACTTTATTAACATCTTCAACTATGTATGACCTATTATCTGACAATCTTTGTTTCACAGTGGCATGTTCCCAATTACTAGGTATTAGGATTCCTTTTAAAGTAGACATGATCATTAGGTTGTAGCATTGACAATGGTTTAGTATTCTTATTAAAATACTTTGACTTATTTAAATTATTTTTGACTACAGACTTTTCATATTCTTTAAATCTTACAACGTTTGGCTTTAATCTTTTATATGACACAGGTATATTATCTCTTAGAGATCTAGACATTAACAATTGAGCTGGTGACGACAGGTTATTCTTTGGTGTGTTTCTATAATGTAATAATGCCTGCCCTGTCTAGTCTCCCAAATCCCCGAATCCTCCACAATCCTCAAATTCCCAAAAGGCCGGTAACGCACTTGTAACGCCTTGGTGTTTCGGGTGTCCATGGGCGGCGTCGATTGCTTACCATCAGGTGATCCGTCTGCTCGTTTACCGGCTTATGCTATAAAAAAAATCAATAAGTGTGCGTTCACCTTTAGTGTTGGTCATAGAAGTAGGTAGGGATACCTATAAAATTGATTGATACTCTAATAAAATTGTTCGCTGTCGCCTCGCATAGTTTTCAAGAGAAATGAGGAAAACTATCGCTGTTACACGCATAATTATGGCAGTAGCCAGCTACTCAACCTACTCTTTTCTGTCAGATTTCTTTATTAGATTTTCAACTCTACCGTTTAGAGTTTAAAGTCGAAAATCCAAAGACAAAAATTGACACATTGTAGTAGGTTCACGTGCTGGCCACTAATAAATTTACACTGGTAATTATTTTCAAATATTATATTTTTATTCTTACTGAACCAAATAAGTACATACTTTCAACGATATATTTGATTTGAAATGTCGCGTGACGTCACCTCTAAGTACCTACGTTTTTTTACCTACAATTTCGGCGTTTTTTATGGTATAAGCCGGTAAACGAGCTGACGGATCACCTGATGGTAAGCAATCGGCATCGCCCATGGACACCTGGAACACCAAAGGCGTTGCAAGGGCGTTATTGGCCTTTTAGAATTAAGAATTTGAGGAGTTCAGGGATTGGGTAAGGGGGGGGGATTGGGCCTCCGGTAACTTTACTCACACGACGAAACACAACGCAAGCGTTGTTTTACGTCGGTCCTCTGTGAGGCCGTGGTATGACTCCGGTCGAGCCGGCCCATTCGTGCCGAAGCATGGCTATCCCTTTAAAAATGTGTGTTTAAATACATACTCTTATCCTCACGCCTGTTTCCTAAGGGGGTAGGCAGACACTATGGAACGCCAATTGCTACGATTCTTAAATATCTCATTCGCTTCATCAACAGTCATCTGTCTTTTCATGCATACTCGTTAAGGATACTTTTAATTTTGCCCTTTTCTTTAATATATCGATGTTTATATATTTCAATTATAATATGATTCCCCTTATAAAAATAGACACATAATTTTTTATTACATTTATTATCTCACCAACTGTACATTATACCGATACTAAGCATGGTTACATTTCACTTATAAAATAATTTACAAATGACATTCAAAATAGGGTAGTTTCCTACATTTTATTAAATTTTATTTTAATGTCCGTCTGGTAGGTACATTAATTTTAAACTTTAGACACGTATTTTTTCTTTACTCACAAAATTAAATACTTTCGACGATGTATTCATTTGAAATATCGTGTGACGTCACAGCGTGCCACGTTTTGTAGCACGTTATGATATGACGTAACAACCTCCCACTCCTAAACTAAGCGCCATTTTATTTTATCTAATATTTTTTCATTATGTAACTGACGGACAAACTAGATTTTTAATTTTGATACCCTGGAAACTACTCAATAGTAAGTACACACAACACAACGACTGTGGTACACACGGCTACACATCGAGCTTTACATAACCAGTATAAACTGAACGTTAAATGTGCGGAAAGACGATGCGACGCGACACCAGGATAAACTGGTTTTGTATAGATTGATGTGTGGCCGTGTGTACCTACACATTGACGCGAAGGACATCTGTTGCGTTACATGGCCCGTTATTACACTTCACACATTACGGTGTTGCAAGTACACGCACACATAAATACACCACGGACATTTTGGTGCTCCCATCATTTCTAAGTGACAGTGAGGCGGACGGACCAGCTCTTTTTTAACGTCCTTGTTTGGCCAAAAATATTTAACAATAGCTACTTCCGCGCTGTTTCACACGCTCTGCTCAGCTCCTATTGGTCGTAGCGTGATGTTTTATAGCCTATAGCCATCCTCGATAAATGCGCTATCCAACACAAAAATAATTATTCAAATCAGACTTGTAGTAACGGAGATTAGCGTGTTCAAACAAACAGACAAAAAAAACAAACTCTTCCGCTTTATATAATAGTATAAGATATGAGATATAAGGTTCATTTGTAATTTATTTTCATAATGTATTGTTGTAGCTTTCTCCAAGATCCAAAGCACATAAGTCTACACTCACACTCATTCAACACACTGCAATAACGTCGCTTTGACATTGGTGGGCACGTTGGCGTCCACCTTGCTTTAATCTTGTCTACGAACGAATGGTAGAGATACTGAATGATGAAAGACTCGTGAAAGCAATGGCGGACACACGTCGCCACCAATGTCAAAGCGACATTGGCGCAGTGTCGTGAACACATCAACAAGATCCCTGCAGCTGTTTGATAGCTGAGACGGGGATGAGAGAATTAGCACAAAGGTCAATACGGTATTTTACAACTAGTCAAATTCAATACTTTTTTCGAACCGTCAAAAACGACAGTTTTCTATGAATTTTGTACGAGATTGTGTATTGTGACGTCACGTTTTTTTTAGCGTCAAACGGTATAGGTACTTATTTCATAAAAATTTGCGGGAAAAATACTAAAATTAAGTTGTTCATAAAATCAATTAATGAAAGTGTGATTATTTTTTATTATTTTATTGTAGGTATCATGTATCATATTTATGTAAAAATAAATTATTTCGACTGTCCAAGTTGAAATAATTAATTTATGATTAAGGAAAGTACCCAATTGAGCGTAGTAGTGGAGGACACAGTGAGGCTATCGGTGTCTTGCTCGTGACATGACTTCGAGCGACGAGCTTGCTCAAAAACTGAAGACAGCCAAAATATAATCGCATGGTTTAAAATAAAAACACTAAATCCAGTGAGTCTTTTCGTTTTTCACGAGACGAAGACAAAATGATATATTTTGAAGTGGCTAAGTCTGGCATCTTATTTTTAAATAATATGGGTGATCATGTTGCGCATTTTTATGTTGTGTTTTTGACAAAACTTCAAAATACAAATGTTACGGCTGTCTGGTTGTGGGCTTAAGGTTTCGTTTTGGGAGTAGTAGTCGAAAAATAATTCCGGTTGAGCGGTCTTGGGTATTCCACCAGTAACTTCTTGCCACGACCTTCCTTCCAAAACGAATGGTCTACTTTAAAGTAATAACTCGGCCTGCGAAAATACAAGTTGCTGGTCTTCACGCGTTTAAGAAGCGCCCACAAATTTCTTGTTTTCGGTCTTTTAGGGAAATGTGTTTTGGTATTCCTGTATTTATGAGCAAGCAATGAATCTATGACTTTTATTTGCTCTCCATACGCATTCAATCGAAATAAAAAACCGTATACGAAAGTTATTTCCACAAAAAAACCGATTTCAACGAACTGTGTTCCGCTGTGGCACACTGACTTTTGTTCATCTCCTAGGCACCACTTTCGAATCGATACTCTAGGTTTGCTATCTTTCTCACGGGCTATATAGTTTGCTTTGATTTCCATGCACGAGTACTCCATGCCCGCAACGAGCGTCAACTGAAACAAAAATACCATAGTTAATGTCCTGGAGGGATTGTGCCATGCGGAAGACGTCGTACAACATTCGATTGTCAGGTACTGCACTAACCGTGCAGTCGAAATGCAGTCAAATCTGTGGAAGGACCTATAGCAGTAGCTGTCAAAGCAATAAGCGAGCTTCTGAAGAGAATGAAAGAGAAGAGGACGACCAAAGAGACAAGGTGGATTGATATGACGAAGGATTATGTATGAATAGGACGTTTGTATAGGGATAGGAGAAAGTGAAAAAAGAAAACATGAACTGGGAATAATGGTTTTGATTCGAACCTATTAATTAGACAATAAAGACCACTTCAATAGCAGTTTTGTATTTCGTTGTGGTTAGATGGCGATCATTTGACATAGTTAAACCCTGTGGTTAAACCAAATTCATTATTTAAAAATCCAATTAAACACATACTTAAACACACCCGAACATTCGCGCAAGCGCCGTGCGTCGCGCTGCCTAAACGAAACAGACGGCGCAGGCATACATACATTTTCACCGCGCCGTACAAAGAGAGGGGGATACTCCCTGTCCTATGCCACGCCAGCTGTCCATCCATCTAAAGTATTTTCGATCAGGTCACGTGTCCTGACGCGTGTACTGACGCGAGTTTAACATTTTTTACCCATTAAAAAAGTACAACGCCGCTAAAGAAGTTTTCATTTCAAAAGTCGCTTCGGATGTGAAATATTCACATCCAAAGGCTCGGTAGGTAATCTAAGTAATACCAAAATATGTAGTTTTTTTTATGGCATAGCCGGTAAACGAGCAGACGGAACACCTGATGGTATGCAATCGGCGTCGCCCATGGACACCTGGAACACCAGAGGCGTTACAAGTGCGTCACCGGCTTTTTGGGTATTAGGAGTTTGAGGATGGTTGGGGATTCAGGGAATGGGGAGATTGGGGAAGGGGAAGGTAATTGGGCCTCCGGTAACCTTACTCACACGACGAAACACAACGCAAACGTTGCTTCACGTCGGTTTTCTGTGAGGCCGTGGTATCACTCCGGTCGAGCCGGCCCATTCGTGCCGAAGCATGGCTCTCCCACACTTTACGATAAAAGTTGCAAAGAAAGAAACGTTTATGTTACTTACGTTATATCTATAAGTTCCTGCCTTTTTGTCCTCCATTTCTGTTTCATCACTGAATATTTCAAACAGTTTCTCTTCACTGTCACATGCACCAAGTCTTTGGATCTTGGAGAAAGCTACAACAATACATTATGAAAATAAATTACAAATAAACCTTATATATCTTATACTATTATAGAAATACGACGAAGAGTTTGTTTGTTTGAACGCGCTAATTCCGTAACTACAAGTCTGATTTGAATAATTCTTTTTGTGTTGGATAGCGCATTTATCGAGAATGGCTATCCTTACTTATTCCTTACTTATATTATAAATCGGAAAGTGAGTTTGTTTGTTTGTTCTGCCTTCACGCCGTAACTACTACACCGATTGCTTTGAAATTTTGCAGACGTAAAGTTAAAAGTCCGGATTAAATAATAGGGTACTTTTTATCCCTGAAAAATTTGATATTCCCGAGGGAAAACAAAAATATTGATATAGATGGCGCTGTGTGTATTGGTATATGTCACATTGGCTTTTTATCCTTTTGTGACGCGAGCGAAGCCGCAGGTAAAAGCTAGTTATTAATAAATTACAAATTAATTAAAAAACATGCTTATTACATGACCATACGATATTCAGTTTTTTTTTCTATCGTAAGAACCTTCTCGTGACAATAACAAACACAACAAAAAAAAAATTCAGCCAATTATGGCGTGACAACGGGAAGCAAGTGTTTATATATATAGATAACTAGCTTTTACCCGCGGCTTCGCTAGCGTCACAAAAGGATAAAAAGTAGCCTATGTGACATATACCAATACACACAGCGCCATCTATACCATTACTTTTGTTTTCCCTCGGGAATATCAAATTTTTCCGGGTTAAAAAGTACCTATTATTTAATCCGGACGTCTAACTATACATCTGCAAAAATTCAAAGCAATCTGTTTAGTAGTCACAGCGTTAAAGTGGAACAAACAAACAAACAAACAAACTCATTTTCCGATTTATAATATAAGTAAGGATAACTATTGTGAGACATACATACACGTCCGCTACATTTATTTAAAAAAAGATTCCGAAGCTTTTTAGTGGCTAAAGCATATGTATTATAGTTTGCCTGAGTATCTGAATGAGAAGGATTTTTTTTTGTAAGTGCTTGAATTGAAAACTGTGTTCCTAATTTATGGTCTTCTTTTTTTGTTTATGTTTTTTCTTTTTATTGGGTTGTTTGTCTTCAATTGTAACATAAGTATTATCCAATGCATTTTACTATGTATATCATTTGCATGCTTAAATGGTAAAATATGGCTGAACCTGTATTTTTATGTCACCTGTAATACGTTACCCATATTTGCAAAATAAAAGTATCTTTATCTTTTCATACTAAATTAACTAAAAATAGGAACGGGAGAAAACAGCATTGCAATGTGTTTCAGGGGGCTTATAAAGGTAACATTGGGTGAATCATTTCTAATATGACAGATTTGATGAATTGTTAGAGAATCACCTAAATCACCATAAAATGGTAACAATAAAATATGAAACATCTTCAATTCAAGTTCTGATTTCAAGTTTAAACATCTGAGCTTAATTTTTACAGGTTTTTATTATGTTGAATCGCCCTTATCTCCGGAACTACAGTTACTGCTTAGAATTGAATAATCCTTTTTGTGTCGCATAGTCTATTTTTTTGAGGAAGGCTATAAGGAATCACGTTACGATCAATAGGAGCTAAGCAGACCGGGTAAAACCGCGGTAGTGGCTAGGGTTCAATAAAACAAGAACTTGAACGACCTTCAAACCTTAAAAAAAGAGCGTATTCCTTTTTAAAAGACCGGCAACGCACCTATGACTCCTCTGGTGTTGCGGGTGTCCATGGGCGGCGCTGATCGCTTACCATCAGGTGATCCGTCTGCTCGTTTGCCTCCTATTCCATAAAAAAAACTTACTTCTTCGCATGACGAGGTGATTCTCGGCAACCGTGGAGATAGAAGGCTTCCCAATATCCTCGAATGACTTTTTCACCCACTTGTGGTACATGCCGTAATCTATGAACCTGGCCGGGGCCTGACAACCAGGGCCATACACTCCGAAACCCAACTGCAAATCATCAGCAAAAGTCAGAACACGATGTAACTGAATATAGAAATCATTTCTATAATGACTGCCTCGTTGGCCGAATGGTCGAAAGGGCTCAGGTGCGTTTCCCGGGTCGCCGGGCAAAGTATTACCGGGTTTTTAAAAATCTTAGTAGTAGCACAGTCCGAAAATGTACCCGGTATATGGCAATAGGCTCACCCCCTATTACATGGGACTCATAACAAAAATAGTGAAAAGTGGGTGTTACATTGTACAATGGCATTAAGTGCCGAAATGTGCACCTCTGCGTACCGCTTCGGGGATAAAAGGCGTGATGTTATGTTATGTTTTCTATAATGTGAGTTTAATGATCAAATCATAACATGACATATAGTAACTGCATTAATTATTATGTTTTTCGACTAACTCTTGTTATTCTAAGTATGACGAATGCTGCTCATGGACATGACACTTTAGTAAAGCTTGGAACTAGTCGAGTTCCTCGTCAAACAGTTACGTGAGTATACAGTGAGCGACAAAACATAATAATTCGTTTAGTATGTCTCACGAAAGTTATAATATGCTGAGCACTATCAAGATAGGGAAGATTTTTTTTATGGCATAAGCCGGTAAATGAGCAGACGGATCACCTGATGGTAAGCAATCGGCGTCGCCCATGGACACCCGGAACACCAGAGGCGTTACAAGTGCGTTACCGGCCTTTTGGGGATTAGGAGCTTGAGGACCGTTGGGGAGATTGGGGAAGGGGAGGGTAATTGGGCCTCCGGTAACCTCACTCACACGACGAAACACAACGCAAGCGTTGCTTCACGCCGGTTTTCTATGAGGCCGTGGTATCACTCCGGTCGAGCCGGCCCATTCGTGCCGAAGCATGGCTCTCCCACACTTAATTAGGGTCATTACCCTAATAGAACAAGTCTTACTTGTCAGAGAATAATGATAATTTACCAGTCTCCACCTATTATCCACTTTGGTGACGAGTAGGGCACCACTACGCCACACGCATTCACCTCCTGTCACACTCTGGGCACATGTCGTGTGTGACGGCCATAGCGTGTCAAAATCCAGCTGAAAAAAACCGACTTCTAAAACCAAAAACTAAAAAAACAAAAAATAGTGAAACCGGCGGAGTTACATGCATTGCCAATTTTCGGCGAGGTTATGACAAAACTCTTCGTATCCAGTAAAGTTTTTTTTTTTAAATGGGACAAGCCCGCCAAAACCTCCCAAAACCGCTGCAACCCCTGTAAGCCAGGATCTACAGTAGATACAACCATGAAAACACCGGAACACTGAAGTCCGGCGCGTCCCAGGGACATGAATAACTGTCTTAGTTCCCGCAACGAAGTTAATCAGAAGGTATTATAAGAGGAGAAGAAAAAAAATGATAGTTTCCACTTCCCTCAGTGAATTACTGCAGGAGACAGAGTGAATTAAGTAATCCAGTAAAGTTAAAGATTGAAGAAGTACTGCTGAAGAGGTCGATGTCCAGCAATGAACAGGCCGATGGTGATTTTTTTTTTATGGCACAAGCCGGTAAACGAGCAGACGGATCACCTGATGGTAAGCAATCGGCGTTGCCTATGGACACCTGGAACACCAGAGGCGTTACAAGGGCGTCACCGGCTTTTTGGGGATTACGAGTCTGAGGATCTTTGGGGATTCAGGGATTGGGGAGATTGGGGAAGGGGAAGGTAATTGGGCCTCCGGTAATCTCACTCACACGACGAAACACAACGCAAGCGTTGCTTCACGTCGGTTTTCTGTGAGGCTGTAGTATCACTCCGATCGAGCCGGCCCATTCGTGCCGAAGCATGGCTCTCCCACACTTATGATTGAACTAAACATACCCCTGTCCGTCTGTAGTAGCTCTTGCATTGGTCAAATGGTACGTACTTCATTTTGTATACCCAAACTTCACCTTTTCTGCAATCTATAAAAAAATTAACAAAACAAAGTTTTGTATAAAACTGCAACTCCCACGTAATTGAACGCAAGGAGTATCACAAGCGCAACTCTAAGCAACAGATGGTTCAGTTTATGTTTTTGAGATCAGGGTGTGAAGTTCCGTAAGTTAAAACATGGCAGGATCCTCCGATCAAGCGAGGTGGGTTATCTACTGCCCAACAGTTATACGTTGGGATTTTCTATCCATGTCAAACAATCTGCGCGCAAACGATATAGGACATTATGTCTCTATCGGGTCCGGTCAGCGGCCATGTGCCCTTCCGACGGAGAATCTCAATGCTGGGTTATGTTTAAGCTGATCAAACCATGTACATAGTTGAGTATCGGCACGTTGCCTTATTTAGCCGTTGCCACAATTAGATTCTCCATGTTATGTTCCCCGCGTCATTTCTGCCTGGTTCTCAACAATACATACCATCACCTATCAGCATCGCGTAGAAAGTCTCGTTCTCAAAATTTAGCGGTGGCCCACATATAGGTTGCAGTTCTGAAAAAAGTTAAAGTAAAAATAAATTACTTAATCATTTATGTAATCCTGAATGAAATATTTATTTATTTATTACTTCTTCACCAAAGATGACAGTGAATGGCGGACTTAATGCCTTAAGGCAAATATCTATAAGCTTTTTTTCTAAAGGTCGCAACATGGTAGCATTGGTAGCTTCTCAGAAAATCCGTAAGGAAGCTGGAGGCCTATCACCCAGCTTTGGAGTAAATACTCCAAAGTCACTTCTTCGGTGCAGCGGATGACCGTCGACTGCAGTCGTTACTTACTATCGGTTGATGCACCCGGACATCTGCCTCTGCCTTATCAACAAATATTGCCAGTCAATATTGTGAAAGTTAATATAATGTTGTATGTCGTGGTGGCCCGGACTGGAGGTTTAAGACGTCCGTTTCTCATGCATACAGGTTAGACACCACTGATAAACGGTGAAGGAAAATATCGTGAGGAAACCTTGGCTAATAATTTTATTTCTAATTATAAGTTTGTAATCGCCAACCCGCAGTGAGCAAGTGTGGTGATTAATGCTCAAACCTTCTCCGTGTGAGAAGAGGCTTTGCTCAGCAGTGGGCATTTATACTGGGCTGTTGATGATGATGATGCATGGCCATAAATATGGTTCAATTCAAACGGTGGAAAAGGTTGTCGTGACATTAGGTATACCTAAGTATTTTATCTCTCCATATACTTATGATATGATGATGATGATGATGGTGATTATGGAAGTTAGCTCCTCCAAAGCTCGCAAACTTAATTATTATCGGTAACTTAACCTCCACGCCTGCTTTTTTTTGTGGTGAAGTCATCCAATATCTCCTCCCGCCTTGGGTGAAATGAGAGAAAGTTTCAGACTCTTACTGACTAAAAACTATCTTGTTATTACTCCTGCTTTAAAGCAGAGCCCTGGTAACCCACGTTAGGTTGTCCGCTTCTCTGTATCGGGCATCAGTCGTACTGGGCTCCATCGGCGATGGTGACAAGGCGTCGCATTCCCCCTCGCTTAATGGCCTGAACCAGAGCCGGACGTGTACCAATGATTTAATAAATAAAAAATGAATATCGCCGTAGACCTCGTCTATGAGTGTGAGGAAATAGAGTGCGCATCAGTGTTAAATTCGTTAGGAGACTTAGATACTCACTAAAGGAGATGTAATCAGTTTCAAGCTGGATCATAGCTAGTGCATTGGCCTTGTCTTTGAAGAAATCCGAATGATAGGTGTACTCTCGTATGTGGATATAAGGACTCTCTCCTCTGCAGTTTCTTCCAATGATCACTCGAGCCTCGGCCCTAGTCAACAGAAAACAGAAATGTTACTCTCTGCCCACAGAACGAATGCATTACTTTATGTATTTCTTTTTTCAAGGGGGGAATATCATCGAATGACTGCTCCCGCCTGGTTGAGACGGGAGGGAGTGTCAGACTCTTACTGACTAAAAACCACCCTGTTCCTTCTCCTGTCGAGCCGGAGCCCCGGTTACCCGTTGGGTTCTCCGCGACTTTATGTATACTGTATGACCTATCGTATGAGTATATATATATGAATCATCAATATTGAATCATCACTCTGAAGAAATACACTGCTGAAGATATGCATTTTGCTTATTGATCGCAGGTTTATCATAGTCCCTCGCAGCTTGAGGGTCAGGTCATCGGTAACTGAGTGTTAGATTTCATAATATGTTATTTAACTTATGTGACATGTCATTACATATGAAATGGCTAGATCGGCTCGCACGCCACGGCGCCGGTTGCAAGCATGTATCTAAAAGTTATCTAAAATGTTACAATTACCTGAAGTGGTCCTTGGGCAATCTATCAATTTCATTAGCAGATGCAAGCGCCACCTGCCTGGTGACCAGTACTACTGACGTTGTGAACAGTTTCGTACCTATATATTAAACAAATAAATAATACAGACACTCCCAAAATGAAAGGAAAAATGTTTAATTGCAAAAAAAAAATATGTTATAGAACAAAACTGGATAAAATTTTAATAATTTTCTCAGCTTCAGTGGTTTTTTGCGCGTATATCAAAAATCTGATGAAAGAAGACGTATGAAAGAAGATGAAAGACAATGTAGTAGGTACCTACCAAAAGGATAGGATAGTAATCCAAGCCAAGGATAATCCTCAACATGAGCTGTACCCATATACAAATACGATGTTGGTGACCTGTCGATGCCGCAGTAGGAAGACAGCACTGGATGTAACAAATATTACACGAAGTGAGTTCATTTCCAAAAAAAAAGAAAAATCGATACATCAACGTTTAAATAAAATTAAAAAAGTTTCTGCTTGTACTGAGAAACACAAAGTGACTAATTAATAATAAAAACAAGAAGATAAATAATAATGATAGTAAAGATGATGCAGAAAGCAGTACTTCTGGACACGGAGCGTATTGTCCGGAAATTCCTTTCTCTGGAGCCCTGACTACCGGTAGGCTTGGATTTCTCCCGTTACTGGTGGGCTACTGCTTTTTATATTTTTAAATGTTTTTTTTCATAATCAAATATTTAAAAATATATAAGTCAAGTGTAGAAATAAATAAAGGAAATAATAATAATAGCTACATTCATGTATACACTTACCTTGACTGACATACGACGATATACTGAACAAAAATGGTAGTAAATGCATCCTTGACAATATTATTAACACTTCAAAACATTAAAAATAAAAATAAATTCTAATAACATCTTAATGTGAATGTAATGTTAAAGATAACATTTGTTTTAAAGAACTATAAACCAGCACTAATGGAGCTGAAGGATCGACTCCATGTTTATTCGAACCGATCTCTTTAAACAACACTCGAGTATGAAAACTCCAACAAAATGCGACTAATTCGATGATTGTTGTACAAATGGTTTATTTGTAAATTCTCCTGGTCGAGTAACAAACAGAATTAGGTATTATCCAATATCCGGTCAAAACAAACTTAGAGAGCTGAATGTCTTCGTAAACAATCGACCAGTGCAATGAGTGTGGGAGAGTCATGCTATAACACGAATGGACCCACTCGACTGGAGTGACTACGGCTTCACAGAAAACCGACGTGAAACAACTCTTGCATTGTGGTTCCTTGTGTGAGTGAGGTTACCGGCGGCCCAATTACCCCCCCCCCCCAATATCCCCAATCCCCGAATTCCCAACAATCCTCAAATTCCTAACCCTTAAGAGGCTGGTAATGTCTGGTGTTTCGGGTGTCCATGGACGGCGTCGAATGCTTTCCATCAGGTGATCCGTCTGCTCGTTTAACGACTTATCCCATAAAACCATAACATAACTTAATATCATGCCTTTTATCCGCGAAGATGTAGGCAAAGGTGCATATTACGGCACTTAATGCCACTGTACAATGTCACACCCACTTTTCACTATTTATGTTATGAGTCCCATGTAACAGGGGGTGTGCTTATTGCCATATAGTTACGGGGCACATTTCCAGACTAAGTGCTACTACTGAGATTTAAAAAAAAACCCCGTAATACTTTGCCCGACCCAGGCATCGAACCCGAGACCCCTTGCCGTGATGTTATGTTATGTTAAAAAGAAAATCGATCATAACTATTAAATCGTTAAGATTTGGACCTACATCTACTTATACTGGCTCGTTCGGCAATGATTTCTTACTCATATAGAAGATAGATGATAGATTCTTCCGAGTATAAATAAAACGATAAGATATTTATTTTTATCAATGTGTTTATTGTCTTATAGATACATTTTTATTTACAGTATTTCATGTTATTTTTTTATGGGACAAGCCCGCCACAACCTCCCAAAACCGCTGCAACTCCTGTAAGCCAGGATCTACAGTAGATACAACCATGAAAACACCGGCACACTGAAGTCCGGCGCGTCCAAGGGACATGAGTAACTGTCTTGGTTCCCACAACGAAGTGAATCAGAAGATATTATAAGAGGAGAAGAAAAAAAACGATAGTTTCCACAGTACTTACACCTACAAACCTCTTTTCGAGGGGAGGAAATCATTAAAATTTTATACCATCAGAATCTCACTGAATAAATACCACGCCGTTCCCGCTCCTGCTGGCAGCCAGAGGCTTGACCACCTGCTAGGTCGTCTGCTGCTGCAGCCTCGATCGAGTATCAGCCCAATTGTCTAGTTTCCTAGGTTTAAAATAAATTGTTTCAACTTTTCAATACAATAAATAATTAAAAAATAATCATACTCTCATCCATTGCTTTGACAATTTACCTACTTTTGAATTTTTTCTCGCTAATTTTAAGGAAATAAGTAATCTATTTGACGCAGAAATATGATGACGTCATAAGTTGCCATCCAATACAAAATTCATAGAACAGTATCGTTTTTGTCATTTCAATAAAAGTATTGAATTTGACTAGCTGTCAACTACCGTTTTGGGCCCCAAAGTCCCAAAAGTATATATGTTAGTAATACTACTTCACTTTACTTGCCATGTTTTGGCATAATTGTTTATACAATCGACACTCGAGGTCATCACGTGGTCCCTAGAGAATCTCTTGATATTACGAACTAAATCAATACATTTTTGTACACATGGTAATTCGAATGAAAAGAACAAAGCTACGTAAACAAATAATTTGTTTAACCAACTTAAATGGTATAACGTATCCTGGGGTTCTTAAGGTCGTGGAATAAAGTTCGACACACGATTGACTGTAAACTTGTATATTAATAAGAAAAACTTTAAACTAAACAAACAAAGATGCACTTTATTACAAATACAATAAAACTCAAATGTTCACGGTACAAATACGGGGCGCGTGAGTTACGGTACAGGCGCTGGACTTGTTACGTTTCGCTCCTACGCAAGCGTCGAGCGGTCAGTGGCGGGGAAGCGAGGGAAGTGGAATAGTGATGTGGCGTTGCCACTAAAGTTGCGCGCGTGCGTCCGACACAAACCGAAATCGTATTGCCGCGTTACATTTGTTAATTTAACAAATGTATGTGCTCCCGCTCGGGTGAGGTGGGAGAGAGTGTCAGACTCTTATTGACTAAAAACCACCCCGCTCCTACTCCTGCACACAAAATCCCTGGATTACGAATTAATGAGATCAAATATTTTAAGCTATTTTAATAAATGTATTTTTTATTTTTTAGGAAACCGTTGCACTGCATTAGTATTCTAAAGCTCTCATGGTACATGAGAAAAAAGGGTGTATTTACAAATGTAGACATTTGTGGATGACATAGAGAGTGGGTCCGTGCGAAAATAAAACCAGCTACACTGTGCTCGGCAGCCGGAGCCGGTTACCTGACCACCGCACCAACCGTGCAATCAGTATCTATTATTATTATTATTATCATCTGTTGTAGTGTCCGGTTCAGCTGAAGTTGTAAATGAAGTTTCAGTCGTGGTTGTAGTTGTAGTTGTCGTTGTCGTTGTCGTTGAAGTTGTCGTTGTAGCTAACCTTTTCTGTACTTCAGCATTCGTGAGGAACCAAGGATTTATCGGTTTTCCTAATAACGTTTGGAACTTATCATAGGTGTCCGCTGCCTTCGTTATTACCGGGTATCGCAATATACTGTTCGTATATTTCACCATCTTCTTAGGAATTAAAATTCTTTCGGCTGCTTTCCTGTAGACGGTGACTTGGAAGAATAATTCTTCTTTAAATGTAATTTCTACATTAAAATGTACTTCCCCGTACTTAAATGATTCGAAGCAAATTTTATCTCGTATAGGATCTTGAAATGCTTCTTCTACGGGATAATGAAAATTTCTAATGCACCATTGCCGTAAACGCATTTTTGGTTTTGTTCCGTATGTGGGTCTGTGGTTCGCTTCTAACTCAATGCACGGGTAGGTCGTTTCCCCATACAAGGATATCTACAAACATAATATCAATAAATTAAACTCATTTTTTTAAACTTTGCCCCCACATAAGGATTTTCTCCTGTGTCGTAGGAACAAACATACAAGTTCTCATACACATGACACCCAGACCAGGAACAACAATCTGTGGATTACACAAACGGTTGCTCCGTGCGGGAATCGAACCGCTACTTTGCGCGACACCCAGTTGTCCAGCCACCGCACCAACAGAGCAGTCAAAAGTACTAATCGTGCATTTGTTGATCACGCCTTTTTATCCCCGAAGGGGTAGCCAGAGGTGCACTTTACGGCGCTTAAAGCCACTGTAGAGGTATACAATGTAACACCCACTTTTCACTATTTGTGTTATGAGTCCCATGTAATAGTGGGTGACCTTATTGCCATATACCGGGCACAATTCCAGACTCAGTGCTGCTATTGAGAATTTTATTTTAAATAACCCATTAATACTTTGACCGACCCAGGAATTGGACCCGAGACCCCTTGCCCGGCAGTCGCAATTGCGACCACTCGGTCAACCCAATAATATTAGATTACTAGAGGTACAATTCCAATATTAAAATTAGAATCCCAGCAATTGGCGTTCCGTTGTCTCTGCCTACCCCCATAGGAGACTGGCGTGAGAGTATGTATGTATGTATGTAATATGAAAATTGTATGACAAAGTAATAAGTTTTATTCTCACATTATAATTGAAGATTCCTCTCTCGCTTGTGATATGGTCATAGTCAGTGTAAGCCTGATGCGCTTTCTCTTCTTCGTCACATGAACCGAACCGCTGAATTTGGCCCAAAGCTGAAAGGAAACATTCCTTAACACTCGACACAAACAGAGCCAAACACAAGGACCGACGAGAGATCAAATTAACTAAAATCGCGGGTTACTCACGTGAATATACTGAGAAAAGCTCTACTAGTTTCGGACCACAGAGGGGTTCTTCCTTGTTAGCAGCGTGCGCGGTCCCGGCGATGTCGTGCAGCCCACTGGCTGGCGTTGGCGCTCGCCTCGGTGTTGCTAATTGCGCTGGGAGCGCCCTCTGCCGGACACCATGAGCGTTTGCTTCCAACTCGGCGACTTCCAATAAAAACTAGTAGAGACTGTGTTCGAAACTAGTAGAACTTTTCTCAGTATATTCACGTGAGTAACCCGCGACTTTAGTTAATTTAGTATGTCCCACGATAAAGAGTTCAAACTATGGATAGATGATTCAGAGTGCACATAACTGTGAGAGTTTAGAATGAAAGAAAGAAAAAGCAATCAACGATAAAGCATGGAATTCTTACATCTCCTCATGACGAAGTGGTTATCCGCCAACGGGGTAATGGAAGGCTTGCCCATCCTTTCCACATTGCTAGCCACCCACTTGTGGTACTTGCCATAGTCCATGAACCTGGCTGGAGATTGACAACCAGGGCCGTAAATACCGAAACCCAACTAAAAAATAATAAACAATAATTCTTTGAGACCAACTTGTTTCAAGCCTACGATTAAATACTGCCTACGATTAAATATACACTAATCATTTCATTTGCTCTTCGTTGGAATTTGAGGAATTCACTGCGCGTTTTCGAAGATATAACATGCCAAATTTAAATGTGGTGTAGTTTAAGTGTAGGACAGCCATGTTTCGGCACGAACGTGCCGATTCGGCCAGAGTAACACCACCCACGGCCTCACAAAAAACCAATGTGAAATAACGTTATGTTTTATCGTATGAGTGAGGTTACCGAAGGCCCAATTACCCCTCTCCTCAATCTCCTCAATCCCTAAAAATCATAAATTCCTAAAAGC